ACACACACACACACACACACACACACACACACACACACACACACACACACACACACACACACACAGGGACACACGCACAGACACACGCACACACAATTGCAAAGGCACACACAAAGGCACACACACACACTTTAACAGTAGTTGAGTCAAAGTATAAGAACCAGCGATCCTAGCTCGTAGCTACACAATTTCCTTGCATACGCCTTGGACACAAACATATCTCCGCTGATTTCCATTCCTCCATGTGGACCATACCCAGAGTGTGGCGGGGGCTGATGACGTCCCAGCGGTTAAACCATTTGTCAGTACTTTATGTACAGATAAACCCCACGTGGCAGCATGATGTAGTGGTGGCCGACTTAGTGGTTCATCCGTACGTAAACTAGGGGTTTAATCAGCCACAAACACACTTCATCATTTCAGTGCGGTGTTAAAGCTAATGCACTGTGTACGTACTAAGAGACGTCATAATAAAACGTGTTAAAACGTAGACAGGAGTTATGATCAAACGTACTCCGCCGCTGTACGGTTCTAACGCGTAGTTAAATCGAACTGCTTGCTCTATCATAGATTAGAGTTTTAAAAGCAATATACAACTATATATAACATATGTGATATTGCCCTATTGATTAGTAAGCAATGAATTCGTCAGTTTTTGATTCACACGTGTACATGTACGTGTACGTGTATACGAGGGACGGTGTGAAACATGACAATGTTATGAAGGCTAATGTACATACATGTATTAAAACTGTACTTTACCAAAGACAAAAGAAAGAAACAGGCATGGACAGAAACGTTTGACTCTGTTCAAGATGATTTAAATAGACCTCTTTGCTATTACGTCCACTTGGTCGACTCAATAAAAATGTCTTGTTTACGTGTCTCCATGGCTGGTTAATTGTGATGTTGAAACATAATTGGTTAATTAGCAGTTAATTGGTTAGCTTGGTTATTTGGTGCTTTTTTTCATGTACGGTTTCCTTGTTTATTTGGTTGGTTGGTTGGTTGGTTGGCTAGCTGGCGTGTGGATCGTTGATTAGTTCGTTTATTTGTGTGTATACTTAGTTGATTAATTATGTGATGAGTGGATGGTGGGTTGGTAGGTTTGCTGTAGGGATCGGCCTCGGTAGCTGGTTCTTTTATCTTCTTCCCGTCTACTCCCTGCTTCCTTTCCTCTTTCTGCCTCCATCTCACATTCTCAGTTCAGCATTCTCAACCTGTTAAAGTTAATGTTTAACATATTCTGTACGGCAGTGCTGCTGTAAAAGTTATTCAGTGCGCTAGTGACCCCCAAAAGTTATTCTGCACGGTAGTGGACATGTAAAACTTATTCTGCACGGTAGTGGACATGTAAAACTTATTCTGTACGGTAGTGGACATGTAAAACTTATTCTGCACGGTAGTTAACCTGCAAACGTTTTTTCTGTACAGTAGTGAACCTGTAAAAGTCGTTCTGTACGGTAGTGAACCTGTAAAAGTCGTTCTGTACGGTAGTGAACCTGTAAAAGTCGTTCTGTACGGAAGTGAACCTGTAAAAGTCGTTCTGTACGGTAGTGTACCTGTAGTTATTCTGTACGGTAGTGAACCTGTAAAAGTTCTTCTGTACGGTAGTGTACCTGTAGCTATTCTGTACGGTAGTGAACCTGTAAAAGTTCTTCTGTACGGTAGTGAACCTGTAAAAGTCGTTCTGTACGGTAGTGAACCTGTAAAAGTCATTCTGTACAGTAGTGAACCAGTAAAAGTTATTCTGTACGGTAGTGAACCTGTAAAAGGTATTCTGTACGGTAGTGAACCTGTAAAAGTCGTTCTGTACGGTAGTGCACCTGAAAAAGGTATTCTGTACGGTAGTGAACCTGTAAAAGTTCTTCTGTACGGTAGTGAACCTGTAAATGTTATTCTGTACAGTAGTGAACCTGTAAACGTTATTCTGTACGGTAGTGAACCTGTAAAAGTCGTTTTGTACGGTAGTGCACCTGAAAAAGGTATTCTGTACGGTAGTCAACCTGTGAAGTAAACGTTTATTCCTAATTGGCCACACGTTTCCCGGGCCGCGGGATGTTCAGTCCTGAAGGCTGTCATCTCCAATTTGTTTTATCCTTACAAGTCTTCTATCCTCTGTCACTATAACAACACTGGGGACATCCAAGTGGCTTTGAAGCTCAGCATGTCGTGCAAACCGATGTCCCCTGGCAGATAATTACCCCTACACTGAGCATATTTCAAATTCATAACGGCTCCGGTAATTTTCCCAATCAAAAATGTTTGGCATCTTTGGATGCTGAAATACGCCACAACAAAGATTGCAGGGGCAGGGAAGTATGCAGATTATTTTGATTAAAACGCGTGTGCAGTTTGTAGTTAGACATACATAAAAGAATCCATCAATCTATCATCCCTAAATGAAATATGATGTGTGCTTTATTCTCGTCAAATTCTGCGGACCGTCTAACGATCACAAGCTTACGTGTGGCATGAAAGAGAGAGAAAAATAAAGGGAGGACACAAACGTTCTGAAACCACACCATGCTTTAATTTATCTATTCAACGTATTAACGCCGTACAGAAACTGCAATATATCTCTGATCTGAGTGACAGTAAGGACTGACGTATGATGAACGTCAAACTGTGGGCTACTTATAGATGGGCAATTTTACCATGCAGACATCAACAAAGTCGTTATCTCTTACAAAATTGTTTGCTGCGTTCTCAACTGTAGTTGATGTATGTGTCTCATCTGTATGTGAGATAGTATCAGTATGTTTCAAGAGGGTTTCTGATTTAGTATATATAAGTTCTTTGGAAACGATGAAAAACAAAGTCCTTAACTACATCCCATTTACAGTATCATCTTGTGCATTTGTCTCTTTTGTACATCAATTTCGAATCCGACATCGTTGACACGTTATTGATATGACAATCATATATCCTTACATCGTTATTCAATGACACCTTTCTCAAAGAATGACTACGTTAGATACGGTGTTTGAAAAAACACCGGGGGACAAAATGGCGGCTACTCGTCCTGCTGACCCCTGTGCCACAGCTGCCAGAGGAGACGATCCATTGCCGATCTCTCTCCGACGAGGTCCGAATTCGTGACGAACGGTTCCGAAGACCGCTTGCCGAAGCGACCCGAAGACCGAGGGCGCGAGACGCCGTTGAGGAACTCCTTCAGAAGGTCATCTCCAGCTGAGAAGTAAACAACAACAACAACAACAATATCAACAAGATGTAGATAACTAGAAAGGTAACATTTGCAAAGCAAATGCATAATGTCTACCTTCACATATGGTCTGCTCTATCTGTTAACTCTTACTGAAGCACATTCATATATATGGTCAGACAGGAGTCTAAATCCCTCCTGCTATAAAATTGCAACATGATGTAACCCAACACTAGTTACAGTGGTGACAGACGTCTGGGTCAGGTCATTGACCTTATTGGATTGGAGAACAAGAAGAAGAAGAAGAAACAGAGCAAAAAATATGTTTTCCTTCGGTAAACATAAAAAAGTAGATGTAAATAGATGCATATACATGTAAAAAGAACAGGATAAATTTTTAAAAAAAGCAATCAAACCAGCTATAGCTATGTTTCCACATTCGCGTCGTGTGACGGTACATGTAAGCGAGTTTGGCCCATGATCAAGAGGTTCTTCAAACCCCTGACGACTACATGTAATTCTGGCGATATTTTGACAAAAGAAACTGCAGAATGTTCTAAAATGTTACAATGTATTTTAGGGGTGAAATATCTGGATACAATAAGACTTTAAGAACTCATACTGGCTCTGCACACGTAAGACAAAATGACGAGTGAAACAAGGTGACAAGAAGACGACCTGCTTGCACTGCTGGAATATCTGTGCTGCACGCCCGTCACACTAATGCAAACTGTACGATTCATGTTCGATGACTAAAAATCAATGTTCATGCCTTTTAGAACCAAGCGAAAGAGACATTTCTCATCCGATGACGAAATGTAGAAGACGGTTTGTAAAACTTATATGAGACGTTGAGACGTTCTATCCGTCTTAGTCAAGAAGGGGTCACAGGGTCATGGGTTCGAATCCCAGCTGTCGCTTGCCTTTTGCGAGTTCTGTCAGTGTATTTAACTTCAATTTTCACGCTATAGGTACGGGGCTGCACGCTTCGGAGATCAAAATGACATTCATCATCAAGCCACATCCTGAACACTGTACGGAACTTTTTTAACCTTCATAGGAGGTCAAAATACAATCAAATGAAACTATATCAACAAACACGCTTCTAGATGGTATAGCCGGGAGTTAGAATCTCAGCTTTAGACAGTTGTTCTGAATCCCGATTCGTGATCCCTGAATGTGGTCAAATCTGACCTCCCACAGTTCAGCTTCAACTGTATTTGGAAGGTTGCCGAGTTTTAAAAAAAAAATCGACAGGAGACAAGTGTGTTTCCCACTCGAACATTTTCACTGTCAAATTGGACGGGGCTCTATGACCAGTGAACATCTGGTAATGGCTCATAAAAAAAATTAATGGTTGTGATAAAAAAACTTTGCTATTCGAATTCATAGCTTACTGTGATGTTGGAATTTGGGTTATGTTACGAAATAGCAGGTGTCGTCTGATAATTACATGTAATATGAATAAAATCGATTTTGTGACTGGCTCTGTGTGCTTTACTTTTGTTAAAGATCCCTCTGAAGATTCTAGAAAATTCTGCTTTTGTTGGGCAAGATAAAATTCAAATTAGAAGCTGT